ATTGGCCAACTAACATATATAGAGAAAAAATTAGCCGGGCATGGTGGCACATGCCTGTAGTCCCAGCTACTCAGTAGACTGAGGCAGAAGGATACTTGAGCCCTGAGCCCAGGAGTTTGAGGTTGCTGTGAGCTAGGCTGACGCCACGGCATTCACTCTAGCCTGGGCAACAAAGCGAGACTCTGTCTCAAAAATAAATAAATAGGCTGGGCGCGGTGGCTCACGCCTGTAATCCTAGCACTCTGGGAGGCCCAGGCGGGCGGATTGCTTGAGGTCAGGAGTTCGAAACCAGCCTGAGCAAGAGCGAGATCCTGTCTCTACTATAAATAGAAAGAAATTAATTGGCCAACTAATATATATATAAAAAATTAGCTGGGCATGGTGGCGCATGCCTGTAGTCCCAGCTATTCGGGAGGCTGAGGCAGGAGGATTGCTTGAGCCCAGGAGTTTGAGGTTGCTTTGAGCGAGGCTGACACCATGGCACTCACTCTACCCTGGGCAACAAAGTGAGACTCTGTCTCAAAAAATAAATAAATGAATAAATAAAATAAATAAATAAATAAATAAAAACATTGAAAGGTTGAAAATAAAAGGGATAGAAAAAGGTATACTGGGTAAATTCCAACCAAAAGAAAAATGAGGAGTTATGATAATATCAGACAAAATAGACCTTTAGACAGAAAGCATTATTATGGATATAGAGGATTAATAGATAATGATAAGGGGTTCAATTCAGCAGGAAGATATAGCAGTGCTAAATTATATGCACCTAATAATATAGCCTCAAGATAAATAAGAAAACGGAATTATAGGGAGAATTTGACACAAACCACTGTTATAGTAGCTAGTCAATATACTCTTCTAAGTGTTAATATACAGACTAGGCGAAAATCAGTGAAGATTTGAATAATACAACTAACAAGCTTGATTTATTGAACATTTATAGAAACCTTTCACCCTTCACTTAGCAAATTCATACTTTTTCATGTATTGTTTAATCCCATTTGAGTTGGGGTTTTGGTCATGTGTAACTAAGCATCCTAGCTCCATGTATTAAATCCCTTTGTTTTAAATAGCTAGAAAGATTTCTATTCTTTGCAAATAAACCTTTCTTTATATATTTAAAATTTTATATATTTAAAACAAACTTTACTATATGCAAATAAACGTTCATTGATACAAATACCAAATTGAGTTTTTCTTAGGAATGCAAGGTTTACACTAGAAAATCTGTAAATGACATCTATTATATCCAGCATATAGATTAAATGAAAAAAACAAGTAACTACCTCAATCGTTACAGAAAAAGCATTTGATAAAATTCAATATTAATATAAAATACCCTTATTAATATTCTTAGCAAAATAGGGATAGAAGGCAATTCCTTAAAGGTGATAAAGTATCAATCAAAAATGTATAACAGGCTGGGCGTGGTGGCTTACATCTGTAATCTAGCACTTTAGGAGGATGAGGTGGGAGGATCGCTTGAGTCCAGGAGTTCAGACCAGCCCCGGCAACATATCAAGAACCTGTCTCGGCCTGTCTCCGTGGCTCACGCCTGTAATCCTAGCACTCTGGGAGGCCGAGGTGGGCAGATTGCTCGAGGTCAGGAGTTTGAAACCAGCCTGAGCAAGAGTGAGACCCCATTTCTATTATAAATAGAAAGAAATTAATTGCCCAACTAATATATATAGAAAAAAAATTAGCCGGGCATTGTGGTACATGCCTGTAGTCCCAGCTACTTGGGAGGCTGAGGCAGGAGGATCGCTTGAACCCAGGAGTTTGAGGTTGCTGTGAGCTAGGCTGACACCACGACACTCACTCTAGCCTGGGCAACAAAGTGAGACTCCGTCTCAAAAAAAACAAAACAAAAAAAAACCTGTCTCTATAAAAATAAAAGCAGTTAGCTGGGCATTGTGGTCCACACCTGTAGCTCCAGCTACTCAGGAGAGGCAGGAGGATCACCTGAGCCCAGGAGTGCATGGCTATAGTGACCTATGATGGCACCACTGCACTCCAGCCTGGGTGACAGTATCTAACAAAGAAATGTGGTATCCAATACAGAATATAAGACCCATGCAAACTCAAGATTATTCATGTAGATACTATACTTCTATTGTTTGAAATAGGGCCATATTGAGCCTTGAATGTCAGGGTAAGGAATTTGATTTTATTCTTTCAGGCATAGGGAAACCATTCAAGGTTTCTGAGCAGATAATAAATACTTTCAGAGCAGGAGCCGTATTTTACTGCATACTCAACTGACTCTAACTGGAACGAAAGCTCTAGGTCTTTCCTATTCATGATATAGCTTCAGTGCCTAGGGGAGGGCTGGCACATTGTAAGCATTTAATACGCCTACTTGAATGAATGAATATCTTTGTCAGTGCCTGCCACATTGTTTATACACAATTCATACTTGTTGAAAGAAGGAAGGTAGGCTGGGCGTGGTGGCTCACGCCTATAATCCTAGCTCTCTGGGAAGCCGAGGCAGGCAGATTGCTGGAGGTCAGGAGTTCGAAACCAGCCTGAGCAAGAGCGAGACCCCGTCTGTACTATAAATAGAAAGAAATTAATTGGCCAACTAATATATATAGAAAAAATTAGCCAGGCATGGTGGCACATGCCTGTAGTCCCAACTACTCGGGAGGCTGAGGCAGGAGGATTGCTTGAGCCCAGGAGTTTCAGGTTGCTGTGAGCAGGGCTGACGCCATGGCACTCACTCTAGCCTGGGCAACAAAGTGAGACTCTGTCTCAAAAAAAAAAAAAAGAAAGAAAGAAAGAAAGAAGGAAGGTAAATTATCAAAGCCATACTTTAGGATAATAGTAACAGAAAGGAAAGAATGGATGTGAGATTGCAAAAGAGGGTTTGTAACAATTTAGAAATTAAATGGACATATAGTGGGGAGAAGAAGGAAGTGATTAAAAAATTCTTGAGCTTGAATTTGGAAAGCTAAAAGAAAAATTTTGCCATTCATAGACTTATTTATTTTAGGATAGCAAATTATTTTATGGGACTATGATGAATTCAGTTTGAGGTAGGTTGATTTTACAGGTATTGATACAACATACTCAGGAGGCGGAAAAGTGGAACTGAAATTTAAGACTAAAGAAGAGTAACGTCTTTGGAGTTGAGAGTCACCCAAGGCTAGGATAATTGAAATCACAGTAGATGAGATGGCCAAAGGAGAATTAGAGACAAGGGAATATCTGCATTTATGGAGAAAAGAGGTCAAGGAGCCACGGATGGAATAGTTATTAATACAAGTAGGAAAACAAGAGTCATAAAATTGAAGAGATGAGAAAATTTCAAGGAGGAGGTTTGTCAACAGCTTCAAATGCTACAAAGAGATTGAAAATCTTCAATATCTGGAAATTAGAAAGCAGTGAATCATATTTGATTCTCCTAACGTAATTAAATTTGAATTTCTGAATGTTGAATCAAAGGTCCTCTGGTATACTTATAATCAGACTTCACACTGATAGCTGCTAAATTCCAATAAGCTAATTTGGCTCCTGTTAAGCTTATATCTTTCCTTCTTCCTCCTCAAAAAGTAAAATACATTCTTATTAGGAAAAAAAAAGGCTGATATTGTTTTCATTCTAAGTATGCCATGTATATTCTTGGCTTTTATTAATAATTTCATGCGCACAGATCTAGGTTTGGTAGGGCTTAAAGTTTATACAATCTGAAGGGCACTCTTGAAGAAAAATAAAAGATTTTAAATACAAAATTAGGTAAAAAACAATTTTTTTTTTTTTGAGACAGAGTCTCACTCTTTGCCTGGGTTAGTGTGCTGTGGCATCAGCCTAACTCACAGCAACTTCAAACTCCTGGGCTCAAGCAATCCTCCTGCCTCAGCCTCCCGGGTAGCTGGGACTACAGGCATGTGCCACCATGCCCGACTAATCCATATATTTTTAGTTGGCCAATTATTTTTTTTCTATTTATGGTAGAGATGGGGTCTCGCTCTTGCTCAGGCTGGTTTTGAACTCCTGACCTTGAGCGATCCACCCACCTCGGCCTCCCAGAGTGCTAGTAAAAATATTTTTTTAAAATGGGAACAAAAGTCACAACAATTTACTGAAGCTTTGGATATTGGTTCCTTTCTTTGAGACCTCTTAGGCAATATAACTTTTCTTGAGAAATACTCTATAAAACATGGTAGATCCAAAACCTGTTTTACAAAGAGAAGACCTGTCCTAGAATTGTTTTTTTTAGTGGCTTTTAAAGCTCCTGTTTTCTTTGAGATGAGTAGCAGCACTGCTCAGGACTACAGTAGGGAAAAGAAGGTGTGGCATGAAGATATTGATTTATGTTAAATTTGGTCCTGCAAAAGTAAGAAACAGAATAACAGCATTTAAAAATCTTCAACAAAGTCAGTTCCTGTTTCACTTCCAGAAAGATCAATCACTTCTTCCTTTCCATGTGTTCTCTTTCTAAATAATTTCATTCTTCCCACCAGGAGTGCCCTACCATTCTTGAAAAAATCCCCAAATACTAAAAAGATACAGCTTTTGTTTCCTGGGCATAAATTTATTCTTAAGAGAGGTGATGGTGAAGAAATACAAGAATGAAGCTTTCTTACTATAATCCCTAAAATCAAAGACATTGTCTAATAGGACTAATCAGAGGTCCCCTCCAACTTGCCTCAGAAAAGAGACTATGCCTAAGACATCCCTTCTCAGATGAAAGTTTCACTTTTCCAAACAAGTTTTTCTAACAACAACAAAAAAAGAAAGCTCTTAAGCTGAGGCTGGAGGTTCACTTGAGCCCAGGAGTTCGAGTCCAACCTGGGCAACATAATGAGACTTCTGTCTCTTAAAGTATCTTAAAAAAAAAACCAAACAGAGAAAAAAAACAAAAACAACCCTCTTACTTCCTTCAAACATTTCTCCACTATTTCCCAAGCTCATAGGAAGATACTATTAAACTCATAATTGTTGGAATCTTTCCCAGTGAAAACTCCAAAAGGAAGGCAATATGGATAGTTATTTACCTTTTAAGAGAGTGATATCCGAGGCTGGATTTGGCTGTTACCAGGGGAGTCTCTTCCTACTCAAGCACATCTCTTGGCAGCCTCTCCTCTTTTTATCAACCCCCTATTATAAAAGGAGAGTGGTTGGTAGCTCTCTCACTTCCCCACTCCCACACTGAACTCAGAAGCTTCATGAATAGTTCAACTAAAACAAGATCAAGTTTCAGACACTCCCATAGTGAGTAAGAAAATGATCCCACTAGATTAAATTGGAGCCTAGATCAGTGGAGGAATATTTCCACAACTCTGCCAGGGCTGGGGCAGCCACTGTTAATAGCTCAGGTAATAATTTCTAAGTAGGATGACATGGGTGGTAGAGGATAGATCATTAACCAGCTTTTGGGTCTATACAATGGGTCTCTCTGGATTAGCAGCATTACCTGGGAACATGTTAGAAATGCAAATTTTTGGACCCCTATCCTGGCTTTAATGAATAAGAAATTCTGGGAGTGTTGGCATTTGTGTTTGTGGGGTTTTTTTTTTAGTTCTTTTTTCTCTTTTATTATTTTTTCTTTCTTTTTTTATTTTTTATTTTCAGAGATAGCAGCAGAGAATGTGTTTGTGTTTTTTAAGAGACAGGGTCTCACTGTGTTGCTTGGGCTCTGGAGTGCAGTGGCTATTCACAGGTATGATCATTGTGCACTACAGCCTAGAACTTGGCTCCAGCAATCCTCCTGCTTCAGCCTCCTGAGTAGCTGGGACTGTAGAGAAGCACCACCGTGCCCTGTGGCATCTGTGTTTTAACTGGCTCCTCTAGGTGATTGTGATATACACTCAAATTTGAGAACTACTTGTCAACAGGATTAATGAAGCTTTAAGTCTTTTCCCCCTTTCCTCAAAAGAATTTACTTGAGACATTTGAATCAAAAGTCAAAACGATTTCACTTAGCATTTGTTATTATACATGTTCATAAATACCTCCAATGGAAAATTTACTATTTTCTCGAAGGTTTTATTTGGTTCATATTTGGTTCATTAGAAACATTTCTAAAAGACATTTATATGTGTGAACGTATGCTTATAAATATACAGAATACTTCCAGAGAGAAGCAGGGCTTCAAGAGAGATTGGGGCCTACTAAATAAAAAAAAAAAGAAAGAAGAAAGAAAGAAGAAGGTAAATTATCAAAGCCATACTTTAGGATAATAGTAACAGAAAGGAAAGATGATGTGAGATTGCAAAAGAGGTTTGTAACAATTAGAAATTAAATGGACATATAGTGGGAGGAAGAAGGAAGTATTAAAAATTCTTGAGCTTGAATTTGGAAACTAAAGAAATTTGCCATTCATAGACTTATTATATTTTAGGATAGCAAATTATTTTTATGGGACTATGATGAATTCAGTTTGAGGTAGGTTGATTTTACAGGTATTGATACAACATACTCAGGAGGCGGAAAAGTGGAACTGAATTTAAGACTAAAGAAGAGTAACGTCTTTGGAGTTGAGAGTCACTCCAAGGCTAGGATAATTGAAATCACAGTAATGAGATGGCCAAAGGAGAATTAGAGACAAGGGAATATCTGCATTTATGGAGAAAAGAGGTCAAGGAGCCACGGATGGAATATTATTAATACAAGTAGGAAAACAAGAGTCATAAAATTGAAGAGATGAGAAAATTTCAAGGAGGAGGTTTGTCACAGCTTCAAAGCTACAAAGAGATTGAAAATCTTCAATATCTGAAATTAGAAAGCAGTGAATCGTATTTGATTCTCCTAACGTAATTAAATTTGAATTTCTGAATGTGATCAAAGGTCCTCTGTATACTTATATCAGACTTCACACTGATAGCTGCTAAATTCCAATAAGCTAATTTGGCTCCTGTTAAGCTTATATCTTCCTTCTTCCTCCTCAAAAAGTAAAATACATCTTATTAGGAAAAAAAAAGGCTGATATTTTCATTCTAAGTATGCCATGTATATTCTTGGCTTTTATTAATAATTTCATGCGCACAGATTACAGGAGTTCAAAACCAGCCTGAGCAAGAGCGAAACCCTGTCCCTACTATGAATAGAAAGAAATTAATTGGCCAACTAATAATATAGAAAAAAATTAGCCAGGCATGGTGGCACATGCCTATATGCCTATAGTCCCAGCTACTCGGGAGGCTGAGGCAGCAGGATTGCTTGAGCCCAGGAGATTCAGGTTGCTGTGAGCTAGGCTGACGCCAGGGCACTCACTGTAGCCTGGGCCACAAAGCAAGACTCTGTCTCAAGAAAAAAAAAAGAGAGAGAGAGAGATTGGGGCCTAATATTGTACCGTGTGCATATTATCTACGAAAAAATTTTTCAGGCTGGGCATGGTGGCTCACGCCTAGAATCCTAGCACTCTTCAACCTGAGCAAGAGCGGAGACTTCCATCTCTACCAAAAAAAGAAAAAGAAAAATTACCCGGGCACTGTGGCATGCACCTGTAATTCTAGCTACTCGAGAGAGCTGAGGTAGGAGGATCCCTTGAACCCAGGAGTTTGAAGTTACAGTGAGCTAGGATGATGCCATTGCATTATAACTAAAAAAAAAAAAAAGGAAATTGAACCTGACTCCCTCTTCAAAAATAAATAAATAAATAAATAAATAAAGAGAAAAAATTTTCAAGTAGATAATTTTTCAAAATATAATATTATCATACCTTTAAAAAGTAACCTCTCATGAAAGATGTGCTATACTTAATATTTACTGAATGACTACTATGTGTGTCAATCACTGTGCTAGATGCTGGGGAGAGTGAGAGTATAGTTCTAGCCCTCAAACTTATATTTTCCTAAATAATAATAAACACAACAATCAAAAATATTTTCAGGGCTGGGCGAGGTGGCTCACGCCTGTAATCCTAGCACTCTTGGAGGCCGAGGTGGGAGGATTGCTCAAGGTCAGGAGTTCAAAACCAGCCTGAGCAAGAGCGAAACCCTGTCCCTACTATGAATAGAAAGAAATTAATTGGCCAACTAATATTTATAGAAAAAAATTAGCCGGGCATGGTGGGGCATGCCTGTAGTCCCAGCTACTTGGGAGGCTGAGGTAGAATTGCTTGAGCTCAGGAGTTTGAGGTTGCTGTGAGCTAGGCGACGCCACAGCACTCACTCTAGCCTGGGCAACAAAGCGAGACTCTGTCTCAAAAAAAAAAATTTTTTTTTTCAGTTCCCGAGTTTTCTTGCCATTGAGGTAAAAAGGTAATATCTATTTCTTTCTAGGGTAGAGAAAACTAAAACAAAACCAGGCTTGGACTCATTATAAAAGCTACCACTGATTTAGTGATGGACCTTTAAAACATTGTTACATGTTTTTGCTTTTTATAATTATAAATGTAATATGATTAATTAATATAATTAATCATATTAATTACAGAAAAACATACCAAAAGACAAAAATCTGCTATTAATCCTACCTTCCAGAAATATATTATTAACAGTTTGGCAGTTTTCTCCAGCTTTGTAGGATAGGCACATTTAGAATTTTAATAGATATTGCCAAATCATACACTAAAAAGATTTAGCAATTTACACTCCCGTCTTATAGACATGAAAGTGCCTGTTTTTTCACAGCTTCACAAATATACGTTACTCTCAATTGCTGAAATATTCATTCAACTAATTGGCTAAAAACAATGTCTTAGTTTTTAAAAACATTGTCTTTCTCTAATTACTATAGTATTTGAGTGTCTTGTTTGTACATATTTTGCAGATTGCCTCATCTATCCTTTTCCCTTTTGATTGAGATATTCATTTTTACTTATTGATTTGAAGGTGTATATCTATCTACAAATATATGAAAAAAATATTTAAAAAGTATATACACACAGATATATTTAAAAATATTTTTACTTATTTATAACTTTTTGCAGCATATGTTGTTCCCAGTGACTATCTTCTGCTACTCCCATTCCTTTACTTTTTTTTTTTGAGACAGAGTCTCACTCTGTTGCCTGGGCCAGAGTGCCGTGGTATCAGCCTAACTCACAGCAACCTCAAACTCTGGGCTCAAGCAATCCTTCTGCTTCAGCCTCCTGAGCAGCTGGGACTACAGGCATGTGCCACCATGCCTGGATAATTTTTTCTGTATATTTTTAGTTAGCCAATTCATTTCTTTCTATTTTTAGTAGAGATGGGCTCTTGCTCTTGCTCAGGCTCGTCTTGAACTCCTGAACTTGAGAGATCCTCCGCCTTGGCCTCCCAGAGTGTTAGGATTACAGGTGTGAGTCACCACGCCCAGCCCTATTCCTTTACTTTTGAATCTGCACTCTGTCAATATCAGCTTCCAGAATTCAACCTCTCTTCTCAGCCCAATAACTTCTGGCTTCACTTATTTCCCAGACCAGTCTCATCCACTTCCACAGAGGTTTTTTTTTGTTTTTTTTTGAGACAGAGTCTCACTTTGTTGTCCAGGCTAGAGTGAGTGCCCTGGCGTCAGCCTAGCTCACAGCAACCTCAAACTCCTGGGCTCAAGGGATCCTCCTGCCTCAGCCTCTCGAGTAACTAAGACTGCAGGTGTAAGCCACCACGCCCGGCTAAATTTTTGTTTCATTTTTAGATGACTGGCTAATTTTGTCTATTTTTAGTAGAGACGGGGTCTCACTCTTGCTCAGGCTGGTCTCAAACTCCTGAGTTCAAGCTATCCTCCTGCCTCGGCCTCCCAGAGTGCTAGGATTACAGGCGTGAGCCATGGTGCCTGGCTTCCAGAGACTTTTTTTTTTTTGGAGACACACTCTCTCTTTGTTGCCCAGGTTAGAGTAGTGAGTGCTGTGGCGTCAGCCTAGCTCACAGCAACCTCAAACTCCTGGGCTCAAGCAATCCTACTGCCTCAGACTCCCAAGTAGCTGGGACTACAGGCATGTGCCACCATGCCCGGCTAATTTTTTTCTATATATATTAGTTGGCCAATTAATTTCTTTCTATTTATAGTAGAGACAGGGTCTTCCTCTTGCTCAGGCTGGTTTGGAACTCCTGACCTTGAGCAATCCGCCTGCCTAGGCCTCCCAGAGTGCTAGGATTACAGGCCTGAGCCACCATGCCCGGTCACAGACTTTTAAACTGTGCTTTTCCAGCTCTGGAATCTTCCCTCTCTAAGATGCTGATCTAATCTGTCCATCAGTTCTTCAATTGTGGGTAAACTGCTTTGTTCACTTTCTTCCCTCAGGCTTCTGAATATTGATAAAATATTAACAATGCTATGTAGTTTCATGAAAATTTATGCCTTCTAACCTTGTCTAGGTCCTCAGAGCATTCAATAATCTTTTTATTTTTTATTTATTTATTTTTTGAGACAGAGTCTCGCTTTGTTGCCCAGGCTAGAGTGAGTGCCATAGCATCAGCCTAGCTCACAGCAACCTCAAACTCCTGAGCTTAAGCAATCCTTCTGCCTCAGCCTCCCGAGTGCCTGGGACTATAGGCATGCGCCACCATGCCCGGCTAATTTTTTCTCTATATATTAGTTGGCCAATTAATTTCTTTCTATTCATAGTAGGGACAGGGTCTCGCTCTTGCTCAGGCTGGTTTTGAACTCCTGACTTTGAGCAATCCACCCGCCTCGGCCTCCCAGAGTGCTAGGATTACAGGCGTGAGCCACCACGCCTGGCCTCAACAATCTTTTTATTTATATCTAGTTGACTTCTCAACCAATTGCCTACAGCTGCACAGGTACACCTAACCCTATTTCTACCTCTTATTCTCAATAGAATTTTCACCTATTAATTTTTTTGAAAATCAAAATCATCACACAGGTTGTTAACTTCCCTTTCTTCCACTTCAATATGTCTACACATTTTTGTAAAAGAGTGCCTTGGTTTCTGAGAGTAACGCTTCCCACACGCCGCCCTAACCCCATCTTCTTTTTTCCCCTAGGACCAGTCTTGTTTTCTCAGGCATATATATTTACTTCCACTTTTAATTTGTCCCTTTCCACAAGCTCAGTGTATCGGCATATTTTACTATTTCCAACCGTATCCTATACCCTGACCCAGCTACCATTTGATTACTTTCTCTTCATTGCCATGTTTCTTGAAAAAGTAGTCTATGCTAACTAGCTGCCTCTACTTATGCCCTTTCTACTCACTTCTCATCCATTTGTACTTTGGTTTCCATTCCTTAGATATGTTCATTCATCCTTATCCTCCTTAACATCTCTGAACACATGATGCTGTGGCTCAAACTCTTATCTTGAAACTCCTTTGGCTTCCATTGCCCTATTCTTTCCAGGTTATCTCTTCCTCTGCAACAGGAATTTCTTCAGGCATTTTTTGTGCCCTTTTCCTTGTTTCTTTTAAGTTTAGTGCTGTCATCCTCTACAACCATAATGTTTCTTGCAGTTGATGAACAAGTAAGTTTAGGTTTAGTCCCATCTCTCTTTGGGGCAAGTGCCCTATGATTTCATATGCTTAATAAGCATTTTTATCTGGCTTTCCCACAAACGAATCCAACCACCGAACTTCTTTTTTAAAGAATTTATTTTTAGGCCAGATATGGTGGCTCACAGCTGTAATCCTAACACTTTAGGAGGCCAAGGTAGGAGGATTGCTTGAGGCCAGGAGTTTGAGACCAGCATGGACAAGAGTGAGACTCCTTCTCTACAAAAAACAAATAAATAAATAAATTAGCTGGGCATGGTGGTGAGTGGCTGTAGTCCCAGCTACTTGGAAGGCTGAGGCAGGAGGATTGCTTGAGCCCAGGAGTTTGAGGTTGCAGTGAGCTATGATGATAGCATTACACTTTAGCCCAACCAACAAAGGGAGACTTTGTCTCAAAAAAAAAAACAAAAACCAAAAAATTTATTTTTAATTATTATCAATTTATAATAGCTGTACATATTTATAGGGTACATGTGATATTTTGGTATAAACATACAATGTGTAATGATTAAATCAGGGTAATTGGGGTATCCATCACCTCAAGTATTTATCATTTCTTTGTATGAAGAACATTCCAATTCCACTCTTTTAGTTGTTTTGAAATATACAGGAAATTATTGTTTTGCTTTGTTTTGCTTTTTTCTTTTAGACAAAGTCTCACTTTGTTCTCCAGGCTGGAGTGCAGTGGCCTGATTATAACTCACTGCAATCTCAAACTCCTGGGCTTAAGTGATTCTTTTGCTTCTTCTGTTCCTGATGAGTAGCTGGGACTACAGGCATGAGCCACCATGCCCAGCTAATTTTTTTTCAGTTTTTGTTTTGTAGAGATCTCATTATGTTGCCTAGGCTGGTCTCAAACTCCTGGCCTCAAGTAATCCTCCTACCTTGGCCTCCTGAAGTGCTGGGATTACAGGTATGAGCCATACTGCCCAAACTAATTATTGTTAACTATAGCCCTATTGTGCTACTGAACACAGATCTTACTCATTCTATCTAACTGTATTTTTGTACTCATTAACCATCCTCTCCTTATCCCTCTTTCCCACTACCCATTCCAGCTGGGTCATTGTACTCTCTATCTCCATGAGTTCACTTTTTTTTCTTTTTAACTTCCACATATTGGTGAGAACATGTGATATTTGTCTTTCTGTGCCTAGCTTATTTCACTTAACATTATGTCCTCCAGTTCCATCCACGTTGTTGCAAATGATAGGATTTCATTTTTTTTTTTTTTTTGAGACAGAGTCTCACTCTGTTGCCCTGGCTTGAGTGCCATGGCGTCAGCCTAGCTCACAGCAACCTCAAACTCCTAGGCTCAAGCAATCCTACTGCCTCAGCCTCCCAAGTAGCTGGGACTACAGGCATGCGACACCATGCCCGGCTAATTTTTTCTATATATATTAGTTGGCCAATTAATTTCTTTCTGTTTATAGTAGAGATAGGGTCTCGCTCTTGCTCAGGCTAGTTTCGAACTCCTGATCTTGAGCAATCCGCCCGCCTCGGTCTCCCAGAGTGCTAGGATTACAGGTGTGAGCCACCATGCCCAGCCGGATTTCATTCTTTTTAATGGCTGAATAATATTCTGTTGTGTATAGGTTCTACATTTGGTTTATCCATTCATCTGTTGATGGACACTTAGGTTGATTCCCTATCTTGGCTATTGTGTATAGTGCTGCCATAAACATTGGAGTGCAGGTATCTCTTCAATATACTGATTTCCTTTCTTTTGGATATATACCCAGCAATGGGAATGCTGGATTTTATGGTAATTCTATTTTTAGTTTTTTGAGGAACCTCCATACTGTTCTCCATAGTAGCTGTGCTAGTTTACCTTTCCACCAACAGTGTATGAGGGTTCCCCTTCGCCACATCCTCATGACAACTGAACTTCAACTGAACAAATCTGAACTTCCACTTAGCTCCTGTCTCTGTTAGTGATATCCCAAAGCCTTCTTTGGCATCACAGCTTCCTTTCATTCCATATTCAATTACATGGCAGGCCTTGTTGATTATTTTGTCACAACAGTATTTGTGGCAATCATTTTCTTTTCAGTTTCATTGGTGTATGTCAAGTCCTTGTGGATTTACTGGTTCTAGTATAATATTTCCCCTCTCAAAAATAGCCTGGATCAGTGTTCCTTAAAATTTTAGCCTCTAGAAGTAGGGTTACCGGATAAAATATGAATCATTCTTTAGTATAAATATGTCCTATGCCACATTTGGAACATACTTATACTAAAAAATTGTGTATTTTTTATCCAAAAATTCAAATTGAACTGGCCTACCTATATTTTTATTTGCTAAATCTGGCAAACATATCCAGGGACACTTAATAAAACTTTGGAGGTTGGTCTGAGTGCAGTGGTCTTTATAACTAATTGATCACAAACAGTTACAAATTTCTTTGTTCGTTCTCCACTCCCACTGCTTCACCTGTCTAGATTAAAAAAAAAAACAGGCCAGGCGCAGTGGCTCACGCCTGTAATCCTAGCACTCTGGGAGGCCAAGGCGGGAGGATTGCTCGAGGTCAGGATTTCGAAAACAGCCTGAGGGAGACCCCACCCCCAACCGTCTCCACTAAAAATAGAAAGAAATTAATTGACCAACTAAAAACATATATACAAAAAATTAGCCAGGCATGGTGGCGCATGCCTGTCATCCTACTTGGAGGCTGAGGGCAGGAGGATCGGTGAGCCCAGGAGTTTGAGGTTAGCCTGGGCAACAGAGTGAGACTTTCCTCAAAAAAAAAAAAAGAAAAAATTAGCCAGGCATGGTGGCGCATGCTGCAGTCCCCAGCTACTCGGGAGGCTGAGGCAGAAGGATTGCTTGAGCCCAGGAGTCTGAGGTTGCTGTAAGCTAGGCTGATGCCACAGCACTCTAGCCCAGGCTACAGAGTGAGACTCTGTCTCAAGAAAAATAAACAAATAAAAAATAAAAACAAACAAACAAAAAACAAAAAATCAAACCCCTCACCCAAAGAAAAACTTTGGCTCATCTGCAGACTACCATTCAAAGTAATTCAACAACCAGTTTATTAAAATGATTGTGATAACAGAAAAACTTATAATAGTTTAAAATTAATAGTAAAAAATTAATAATAGTAACTTTAATATAGTTAAGGTTAATAATAGCAATTTTAATATAGTTAAGCTAAAATGTGTGTGAAAATATGTAGATTATGCTTCACAATCAATTAATTTCTTAATTTTTATTTCTATTGAAATTAGAAAATCTGAATTTACAGTTTGTCAGATATGGCAAGGAGTTTGGATGGCTATAAGATAATTCGGAATAGGTGGAGCTAACAAGGGTCTATTACCATGGAAAGTTTCTAATTAAAGACAGCTTTCAGTAGTTTGTCAGATGCTAAGCAGGAGAGCATGGAGTAACCTCAAAAGTTGAATGTTTCAATTTGGGAGAAAGCAGGAATTGTATTCAGTTTCATTGGTTGCATTCAGCTCTGGGAAGCATTTCCCCCCATTCTGTTGCAACATTTGGATGTGGTTTAGAGTATGCTCAATAATGTGTCACTCAATATTTTTCTCTGAAGAAGGGAATTATCCTGTGTTGGGAAATAATAAACTCTTGGCAGTCAAGGCATTTGCATCACAGTCTGGTTTTCTTACAAAATCTTGATACTTTGTTCTTAACATTAAAAATCATAGCTTTGCCATCTGCCATCTGTCATGGAACTGCCACCAATATGTATTAATAGATTTTTGCAAAAACCCTTATGGGGAAGACCACCATTCTTGAGGTTGAACGCTCCAATACAATAAAAGATGTGAAGGCATTCCAGAATAAGAAAGAAATTTTTCCTCATCAGCAAAGACTGATCTTTGCTGGCAAGGAACTGGAAGATGGATGTGCTTTGTCTGACTACAACATTCAAAAAGAGTCCACTCTTCATTTTATGTTGAGATTTCATGGTGGTGCTAAGAAAGGAAAGAAGTCTTACACCACTCTTAAAAATAATAAACATAAGAGAAAGAAGGTTATGCTGGCTGTCCTGAAATACTATAAGGTGGATGAGAATGGCAAAATTAGTTGCCTTTGTCAAAAGTGCCCTTCACATGAATGTGATGCTGTAGTTTTTCTAGCCAGCTGCATTGCTGGACATTATTGTGGCCTGACCTATTGCTTTAACAAATCAGAAGATAAGTAATTGTGCATGGGTTAATAAAAGATATGAACTAAAAACAAAAGAAAAACAACCCCAAACCATGACATTTAGAACTTTGAGTGACAAGTTCAAGTTAATGAAAATATTGCTCAGATAAGCCATTTGAGCAAGCCCACTTGAAATAATAAAAATGGTTTCTGGCCGGGCGCAGTGGCTCACGCCTGTAATCCTAGCACTCTGGGAGCGAGGCAGGCGTGATTGCTCGAAGCGTCAGAGTTCAAAACCACCCTGAGCAGGCGAAACCCCCGTCTCTACTATATAGAAATAATTAATTGGCAACTAATATAAATTAGCCCGGCTGGGTGGCACATGCCTGCTAGTCCCAAGCTACTCAGGAGGCCTGCAGGCAGGAGGATTGGCCTGAGCCCAGGGTTTGAGGTTGCTGGCTGAGCTAGGTGATGCCCTCGGCCGCACTCGACTCTAGCCTGCGCAACTAAAAAGCGCGGAGACTGTCTCAAAAAAAAAATGCTTTCTGTTAGTATTATCTATAACATAAAAAGGAACTGTTACTTCAGCCTTTATTTAAAAACTTGTGACAGCCATGTTGCCCTAGTTACTGGCCTCTATACCTCATTGTGGAAAAAGCACCTATTTATCTGTTTCTTTCAGTTATGCTCACTGGCGATTTACTAGTATTTATGGGTTGTGTATTAGTTTGTTTTTTGATTTGAATCAAATCAGGAGAAATTTTGTTATTTAATATTTTATTTATATTTTATTTATTTTGTTATTTTTTTTTTGAGACAGAGTCTCTTTGTTGCCTAGGCTAGAGTGAGTGCTGTGGCGTCAGCCCTGGCTCACAGCAGGCGCATCAATCGTTGAGCCCTCAATCTCCGGGGGCTCAAGCGATCCTTCTGCCTCTCAGCTCCGAGGGCTGGGGACTACAGGCATGCGCCACCATGGCCCCTGACTTTTGTGTATATATTTTTTAGTGGTTCAATTAATTTATTCTATTTTTGGTTAGAGACGGGTCTCGCTCAGGTTGTCGAACTCTGACCTTGAGCAATCCGCCCCGCTCGCCTCCCCAAGTGCTAGGATTACAGCGTGAGCCACACGCCTGCCTGTATTTATTAGTTTTAAAGATTGCGTCTCATATGTTGGCTTAGGTTGCCTCCAGCTCCTGGCTCCAAAGTGGAATTCCCTCCACCCAGGAGTCAGAGTAGCTGGAGTAAGCTTGCACCACTGTGCCCAGCTAGGAGAAATATTTTTTGACCACTTACTGTTTTCTGAATAAAATAGAAAATGGACTGACATCTTGTTTATTGTAGGAACAATGTCTTTCTGCATCCAAAGGTACAACTCCATCAGTTTTGATCCTAAGATATCTTTTTCAGACTGCCTCATACCTCACAAAATAATTATTATCTATTTTTTTTTTTTTTTTTTGAGACAGAGTCTCACTTTGTTGCCCAGGCTAGAGTGCTGTGGCATCAGCCTAGCTCACAGCAACCTCAAACTCCTGGGCTCAAGTGATCCTCCTGCCTCAGCCTCCCAAGTAGCTGGGACTACAGGCATGTGCCACCATGCCCAGCAAATTTTTTCTATATATATTAGTTGGCCAATTAATTTCTTTCTATTTATAGTAGAGATGGAGTCTTGTTCTTGCTCAGGCTGGTTTCGAACTCCTGACCTCGAGCAATCCGCCCACCTCGGCCTCCCAGAGTGCTAGGATTACAGGCATGAGCCACCGTGTCTGACCCAAAATAATTATTATCTAAATGAAAAATGTCTTCTTCTGTAATTTGAATTTTTAATAAGTCCAAACAGGAAGTTTCTGCTCATTTTTCGTTATGTACTGCATGTATGCTGTAAGCTGATGCATGTTGTGTACATCAGCAGTGTCCACTCTTACGGCAAACAACTGTTAGCAGGTACATATCCAATATTGCCATTTTATGTTGTACACCATGTTTCTGAGTGATATTTGATAAAGAATTTTGCCAATAGCTTGTTATATTTTCTCTAAGCAAAATATTTGTTATTAACTTTGTAACTAGTTGAACAAGCATCTCTGTAACAAAATTAATTCTATCATTTTTTTTCTCTGAGGGATAGATATAATTTGATCTCTTTTATCCACAAAATTCATCCATCTTGTACTGGAAAACATTATTTGGCATTTATTCTGGAAAAATACATTTTACTTGGCAGATAAGTTATTTTGTTAAAATGTCTTGAAAACTTTGATGGCTTTCCAAGTCACTGTTTGACAAAATTTCCTAATAGTGAATGTACTGGGCCAATAAAATCCAATTTTTAGATATTCATAGTTGTACTTGTTATGTACATTTTAATTTTTTGGCTGTTTATTTGAACTTATCACATTTAAAGACACAATTCATATTCTATATCTGCATTGGAGTCTTGTTTAATAGTTGACTATTTTTATCATATAATTATGAATTGAAGTACTAGTTACTTCGTTACTTTTTTCATCACTCCTCTTTTTTGGACACATGGTCTATTTTGCCCAGGTCTTGAGCTCTAGTGCTGAAGTGACCTTTCCAATCTTTCTGCCTCAGCCTTCTGAGTAGCTGGAATTACAGGAGCACGCCACCACGCCAAGCCACTACTTATTATGCTTTTTTTTTTGAGACAGAGCCTCACTCTGTTGCCCGGGCTAGAGTGCTGTGGCGTCAGCCTAGCTCACAGCAACCTCAAACTCCTGGGCTCAAGCAATCCTTCTGCCTCAGCTTCCCAAGTAGCTGGGACTACAGGCATGCACCACCATGCCTGGCTAATTTTTTCTATATATATTTTTAGTTGGCCAATTAATTTCTTTCTATTTATAGTATAGATGAAGTCTCGCTCTTGCTCAGGCTGGTTTCAAACTCCTTGAGTGATCCTCCTGCCTCGGCCTCCCAGAGTGGTAGGATTACAGGTGTGAGCCACCACACCCGGCCTACTTATTATGCTTTAAAAAGCATACAAAACATATTCCTTTTTTAAACTTTCTTGAGCTTTTTTTAAAGTTGTAGTAAAAAAACGCCATAACATGAGATCTACCCTTTCAATGTGCTTCTTTTGAGTGGGTGAATTAGAGATACAACACAACAAAACGAAAAAAATGAAATGTTAACAAATGGATACAGTAATATGCCAATTATATTAAAATCCCGTGGCTGTTAACTAAATGAGATAAATGGATCAATGACATCTCTATAATACACATATAACCTCTAAATATGCAAAGATGCTCAATAGCATAATGGTATTTTTGTTAAAATTCTAATTAAATTTATGTTAAACAATATGTGAAAGATGCATAAAAAGGGCAATATGTGAAAGATGCATAAAAAGGGCGGGCAGGTGGCTCAGGCGGGTAATCCTAGCTCTCTGGGAGGGGGGTGGGGGGAGCGGGGGAGGGCGGAGGCAGGCGGATTGCTCAAGGTCAGGAGTTCGAAACCAGGAGCCAGACCGTCTCTACTATAAATAGAAAGAAATTAATTGGCCAACTAAAAATATATAGAAAAAATTAGCCGGGCATAGTGGCACATGCATGTAGTCCCAAGCTACTCGGGAGGCGAGGCAGTAGGATTGCTTGAGCCCAGGAGTTTGAGGTTGCTGTGAGCTAGGCTGACTCCATGGCACTCTAGCCCCGGCAACAGAGTCAGACTTTTCTATCAAAAAAAAAAAGAAAGAAAGAAAATAAAATAAATCTGTGCAGCTATCATTTTATCAATTCCCTGAAAAAAACAAAAAAACAAACAAAAAAACCCCTCACTACGTCCCTATCGTTGGCCAAACTAAGTTACCCACTCTTAATCAAAATGCCTTTTTCACCCTTCGCCTCCAGTTTTGGCTGTTGATATCTCCCTTACCAGACCATAAGCACTTAGATCCTACACTGCCACTTCCACAGCAAGAATTCAAAAATTAGTCACTGAACTTTTTTCACCAGGGACAAAGGTCTTTAGAAGAGGAAAAAAAGTAGAAAAAAATTACATATGACCAAGTGAAGTTTATTAGAGCACCTAAAGATTTACAAAGTAGACCGCCTGCAGGTGAATTACTCCGATGAACGCACCACGAAGCGATCTCTTCAGCAAAATACCCACTTTGATAGCTTTTCACTGACGTCACTCAGCCATCGACCTCTTAAAGTAAAGAAGGCGGGATTAGGGAGACAGCTGGACTTCTTTCTCGCCCTCCCTCTACTGGACAGGCTAGCGTAGTGACCAGCCCTGCCCCTGGTCTATTTGGCGTTTCCATTGGTCAGTTTTCCCGAGGAGGCTGGCTGTAAGTTCGCCTCGCCCACTCAGCGGGCGGGGCTGCTCCACCACGGGGGTTGGGAATGGGGGGAGGGTTGCTGAAGCCGCCATCTTGGATTCCGCGGTAGCGGTGGCGGCGGTAACGCGCCGCTTCTGGGGAGTGGCTCTTCTCTCCCCCTCCCCCCGGTTCGGTAGCGGCAGCTCCTCCCACTGGGGGGGGTGGCGGGGCGGCGGTAGCATCTACGGCTATGGCGGCGACTACTGCTAACCCCGGTGAGGAGACGGAGGACTGGGGCGCCTCGAAAGGGGGAGGGGCTGAAGGGGCTGACAACTGAGGAGATCCAGGGTTGTGGGGACGCAGCTGGAGCTGGAGGCGCCGGGGCGGGGCGGGCGCGGCTAGGGACAGTGGGGGAGGGGAATGTCCTGGGGGAGGGGCCCGACCGACCCCTAGTGAATACTGTAGACCAGAGAGGGAAGGAAAGAGCCGGCGGGTGTGAGTTGGGGGTTCCCTGCCCCGAGTTCTATTGGAGCTATGCCCGTGCGAGGCTGGGCCCCCCTCCACTCTTCAGGCGGCGGTCTGGTCTGTGGTGTGGTCCTCTTTTAACCCTCTGCCCGGTGGAGGTGCTTGATGGCCGAATAACTGTAGGCAGAGTGGCTCGTTTTACTTTAAGAGTAGTTTGGATTCATAAGCACTGGACCACGTTGCTGTTAGATGAGGTGTTGCTTCCAAACATTTAAACGTTTAGATTTTAATTTAGATTTTTAAAAATTCTTTAGAAAAGAATATATATACACACTCAGTTTCTCCAGGCTGTACCTCCTCCCTGCCTATACTTTGAAAGTTGCATTTATGTGTTAAGAGGGCCTGTGCTTGTTGTCTTTAGTTGCTGAGGGCAGAGGTCTGTGTAATGATTTGTGGTTCGGGACAGATCTTTCGTCCAGATCGCCAGGTTTAAATCTTGTTAGGCCTAGCGACATTGAGGCAGTTTCCATTCTTTCAGAAGAGTTTAGAGTCATGCCATTTCTCAATTTCAAAAAAAATCTAATCAGTGTAAGAGTGGCGTGTAGCGCAGCTCTGGAGAGATCAGATCTTCAAATTCCTAGTCCTAGTCTTCTTTCCACTATATTACAGTTATTTCTCCCTAGGAAGTATTTCGTTTTAGGAGGCCTAGTTTACCTGCTGGCGTTGGCCATTCTCTTGCAAAATAAAATCTGTCCTTTCACGGAAAGCCTTATCTTTGATAGCCTTAAAAAAGGGGGGGGGGTGATGTGGCTGGAAGTGTGTGAGAATTTCTTGAATATACAACAGTGGGAGGGATTCCCTACTGTCCTCATGTTGAAATTTAAATTTAATTTTTTTGTGTCTCTTAAAGGCAGTATTATTTTGCAATATCTAGGTTTTGATATTATATCACTGTGAAATTTACTGTCTTTTCCACTGTGTTTCTGGGAACAGAGCTATTTTAAGAAATGATTAATTTGTTACATGTCAACATCATTTTTAAAAATCTTTCACTTTTTTTAAAGGAAAGGGAGATAAAATTAATGACAAATTTCATTGTAGTGCTGACTGATGGAATAAAACCATAAAACTGGAAAAATGCCATATGGCAAACCTGACCTTGTAGTAAAATAACCTATCTGTGAACTAGGGAGTTAATAAACAATATTTTAAACTGATCACACAATTGTAAAATGCTTATATAACCCTAGTCAAATTGCAAAGCATTTCTCTTATTAAGAAGTGGCCTGGGTAAACAAGTTTTAGTGTACATGTCAGAAGCTTTTTTCCAGCTGTGTGGGTGGGGTTGCTTTATTTTGTTTTGTTTTTTAAACAACAGCAACCAGAATCACAATCTCTTGACTGAATTTTCATCAGCCAATCAATATCAGGTTAAACCTCTAAACAGAAAATAGCATTTTTTGTGTTTTTGTGCAGAATCCTTGTTAATGAAACAGTCAATTTTTATTGTCCTCTGGCTGCTTGCTTCTGTAATTTTTACATTTCTTTTTTGATGATGAAAAGTTCTATCTCTTCTAAGTTATTCATCCCATGTTCAATAGATAATAAAGCCAGAAATGTATTTTCTTTTTCATTTCTCCCTTTGCAATTTTATGTCAAAAGGAAGAGATCATAAATAATTATGTAGATTTTTTCAGTAGCCTGTTGCATTTTGGGAAATAAGATCCATGAATGGAGGGATACAGTGTGGAAATGTACCGTGCTTAATGAAAAGAAAGAAATGGTTTTCAAGTCAGAATTGTTTGCTGCATTGTCATACTTTCTTTCCTTAGAGCCATTGTAGGAACCAGGACTATCATACATATTTCTTTGAGTTTTTTCGACTTTGTATTTTTGCTGGGGTACCGGCTGATAAGTTTCCCTACAGTTCTGGTTTGTTCTGTCTTCAGATATGTCTGCAGAAGATTTTTAAAAATAATTATTTCACTCTTCTAAGCTTCATTTAAGTTAATCCTTGGGGTTAATAACACTGCTTGATCATGTTAATTGTACATGATTTAAAGTCTGCTGGTGGCCCTTCACTGAAGTCCTTCAGGGGACCTGGTTCTTCTGCATTTTTCACTATCTTAACATGGCACTGCATCAGAAGAAAAGTAAAATAAATGGTTTGTACTCTCTTCTCTGTAAGAGTTGTGTTCAAGTAATAGTTGTAATGTGATGATTTTTTCCCCCTGAATTGATAATTCTTCACATTCTATCCTTTTCCATTAATTCTCCTTCCACTGAGAAGTAGAAGTGGGTGGGTAGATGGTCTATGAAGCTTTAGGCTATAACTTTTTTTGTCTATGGATTACTAACAATTTTGAGGAACACTTTTTAAGTTGGGTATGTGATTTGTAATGCATTGGCTAAGGGACTAATTGGGAAGAGATTAGGTGTTTGATTTACAATTTGATACTCAAATTGGAGTCTGGAATGAGTTTGTAGTTAAGTGTAGGTTTTTCCTCCCTTGATTCTGGTATTCTCATTAACAGAAAATTCTTTTTGGGCTATTATATGCAATTTATTGTGAATGGAGAAGGCAAACACTGGATTTGTAAGGCTGCCATTTAAGAAAAAAATTTCTTTTTAGATAATTTTCACCTGTATAAACTATAGTTTTAAATGCATCAACAAAACTCTTATGTCACTTTTATTTACTTTTTCAGATATGGGAAAATAGGAATTCATGCAGTTTAATATTAAAATGTCAAGATATTCTTCTACTATTAATATACTACTGCAAAGAACTTTAAAAGTGTATTTTACTAATTTAGCAGTTGAAATATGATTAACATTTTTGAAAAGGAACCTCAGTCTGCTCACTTTTTGTGCAATAGATTTGCATTACCAACCTGCATCTTTTTCTGTTTTCTTAGAAATTAAGAAATAGATACTTATGTATTGTTAGAGGCCTAGTTTTTTGGTCGTTTTGAAATAGTGATCTCTCAGCTTAATTTTAATTCCAAAACTAGTAAAATTTAAATCCTTGATTTGTGAAAACTGCTTTTGGAGCAGTTTTTTTCTTTTTTTTCAAGATGAGTTACAAAACTTATTTATTTTTTAATTTTAATTTTTATTTATTTGTTTTTTTGAGACAGAGTCTTGCTTTGTTGCCTAGGCTAGAGTGAGTGCCATGGCGTCAGCCTAGCTCACAGCAACCTCAAACTCCTGGGCTCAAGCAATCCTACTGCCTCAGCCTCCCGAGTAGCTGAGACTCTGTAGTCTCAGAGACTACATGGTGGCATGCATGTACCACCATGCCGGGCTAATTTTTTCTATATATATTAGTTGGCCAATTAATTTCTTTCTATTTATAGTAGAGATGGGGTCTCGCTCTTGCTCAGGCTGGTTTTGAACTCCTGACCTGGAGCAATCTGCCAGCCTTGGCCTCCCAGGGTGCTAGGATTACAGGCGTGAGCCACCGCCTGGCCTACAAGACTTATTTATAATGTTAATTCCCAGGCCTGGTGCCGGAAGGTGGCTCATGCCTGTAATGCTAGCACTCTGGGAGGCTGAGGCGGGTGGATCCATGGAGCTCAGGAGTTCGAGACCAGCCTGAGCAAGAGCAAGACCCTGTCTCTACTAAAAATAGAAAGAAATTAATTGGCCAACTAAAAATATATAGAAAAAATTAGCTGGTCATGGTGGCGCATGCCTGTAGTCCCAGCTACTCGGGAGGCTGAGGCAGAAGGATTGCTTGAGCCCAGGAGTTTGAGGTTGCTGTGAGTTAGGCTGAAGCCATGGTACTCTAGCCAGGGCAACAGAGTAAGACTCTGTCTCAAAAAAAAAAAAAAGTTAATTCCCTGGTGATATAATACTGTAATGGGGTATAAGGGTAACATTTCTGTCAGTGCTATCCAGTATTTCTTTTTTTTTTTTTTGAGACAGAGTCTCGCTTTGTTGCCCGGGCTAGAGTGAGTGCCGTGGCGTCAGCCTAGCTCACAGCAACCTCAAACTCCTGGGCTCGAGTGATCCTTCTGCCTCAGCCTCCCGGGTAGCTGGGACTACAGGCATGCGCCACCATGCCCGGCTAATTTTTTTTTATATATATATATCAGTTGGCCAATTAATTTCTTTCTATTTATAGTAGAGACGGGGTCTCGCTCAGGCTGGTTTTGAACTCCTGACCTTGAGCAATCCGCCCGCCTCGGCCTCCCAAGAGCTAGGATTACAGGCGTGAGCCACAGCGCCCGGCCTATCCAGTATTTCTATGTGTGTATAGCTGATTTTATTTAGATGTAACAATAAAAGAGCACATTTAAGGCCCTTCTGAAATGCGGGGCCTGAGCTTAATGGAGTCTGGGTTTACCACCGCCACCTTGTAGAGCCATCTGTTTTTAAGAATGCTGTCTAATGTGCCATGATGACTTCAGTAAGTAGACATCAGTGAGTGTTCAAGTTGGAAACACAACGACATGATGCCTATCCTTTAAGGAAACAAACCTAGAGAAAGCAATGGACACATTTATTAAGTTCCTCCTGTGTGCCAGGCTACACTTTCCTAGTTTGTTGACTGGTCTCTGTGTTAGAAACTGTCTCCCTCTTTTCAGATAAATTCTTTGAATTTATATATTTTTTTTCATTATTTCTTCATTTTTATTTCCTTCCACATTTTCACTGTAGTTGAATGGACAAAGTAAGTTATGGCTTCAACAATGTAATTAGAATATAAGTTTCATGAGAGCAGAACTTTTGCTTCCCTTGTTCACCACAGCGCCCTGGTGCTTACAATGGTGCCTAGTATAGACTAGAGTTCAATAAATATTTG